GATAAAAGAAGTGAATTTGATTTTCCCATCCTTGGTCTACTCACCCCTAATAGTGTAGTTCTGTCTATACTGCTAAGAGGAGTTATTATTTCTCAATTAAAAAGATATCTGATAATTTGAAGCAATAGTAATTCTATTATAGATAATGTTCAATTATTAATAAGTAAGTTAAAAAATATTACTTATAAAAGATTGGAAAATTAAAAAAAAATCATATTCTTTTACAATAAGTATGAGAATATGTTAAAAAGTAAACTCTGGATTACTGAAACTACCTTTTGGAAAATATAAAAGCCATTAGTTACTCAAGGTCATCCTTAGCTTATAAGCAACTAACTACAAGATGTAGGTATTTGTTCAGTATACTGGGACAGAAAGACCAAATTTAGGTAGCTGGGCTTGTCTCAGCTCACCCGCTTTATACTTGAACATATTTTTTAAAAGAAAGGGAGGAGGATGGAGTATAAATTTTTATTACAGAGTTAGTAAGGTAAGGGTCTTGAATTCTTTCTATCATCACTAAAAAAAAAGGTAGAAGTTGGGAATCTTATAAACTGTAGAAATATAAAATGGTTTATTTCTAATACAAGAATACTTCTGACAAGGTACCTTACTTCTGCTCACATACATAGTTCTTCTCATTCAGTGCTGCCCTGTATTTGTAAAAATTTTTTTGCATGCCACAAGCCTTTCACTCCCATGCACCCCTCAATTCACTTGGTTTAACTGATTCTTGCATGCAAATTATCATGAGACATACCTCCATCAATAGTAGTGGCATACACCCATGTGACTCCCCTCTATGCTATTATACCTAATTATCACTCCTCATTTGGCAGTGCTCGTGTTTAGATGTTTAGTTTGTGCTCTCCAGGTTTTTTTTTTCATATCTTTTTATTAATTTCTCTCGACAAGTTTACTGTTTATTATACAATAGTGATATTTGTAACTTATTCCAAAGTGGAATTATTTTAAATTAGATATTAGTGATATATTTTGTCCTGCACAGTTCGATGAGGTTTAACAATTGTCTGTTATTTTCGGTTTACCTGTAGTTCTATTTACGGGTAAATCGTGAATTAGGTTAAATATCTTGGTTTCTTGAACACGTAACATCTTGTACATATGTTTATTTCACTACATACTTACTTAAGTTTACATTATATTGACATTTTATTTTTTGGAAGTCTTTATAATTTATACTTCTTACAATTAATTTAGTTTGTGAAGACACATGGGGGCTTGGGTCCACCCAACATTCCCCTAATATTGCTAGCCTTCCTCTTACAACTACCAAACTTGTTTAGGACCTAGATTTTGTCTGTTTTCCTCCACCTGATTATGGCTTGCCTTCCCAGATCTCTACTGTAGAATCTGCTAGGCCTACCACAGCCATTTTAAAATATATTTCAAAGTATACTTTTCCCCTCATTTTCCAGACATTGTTTCATGATGAGTATTTTTGTCTCTCTTTTGGGTGAGGGTACTTGCATGCCTCACCCTCCACAGGCTTTGGTTCAATTTCCATTAGCTTACCATGAGGCAGATTTTCTTCTTGATTCTGTGTACTTAGAATCTCTGTTGCTTGTATGGGGGCAGCCTCTGTTAATTCTATCCATTTTATCCCCTACTTATTTTTTTGGCTTCCTCTTACCCTATTGACTCTCCTACAGGAAATGTGTACCTTACACCTCCTTTATTAGGCATTCCACTTGTATTTAGGGATTTTTGTGGGATACTTCCTCCATCTTCCCTCCATGTTGGGACATTTGCAATCTTCAGTTCTTTCCTTTCACACGTGGCTTCTTTGATTTTGGGATTTTCTGGGTTGGGACACTGTTTTGTACTGTTTGTTTACCATCCACTTCTAATGGGGACTTATGGTCAGCTTTTTTTCTCCACTGTTCTGTTTTTGGGACTACTCCTGTGCATTTAGCATCACGTGGGGTATCTGTGATGCTATATTCTTTGTTTTTTTGGTTGCTCTTTTGTTGCATTCTGAGTCATTGCCATCTTTATTTCTGTTCCATGTCCAGCTCCTTCCTGTCCTTTACATATCCTTCCAGTGAGTTTCTCTATTTGTCATGTATGCTCAATGCTGATTGGAGTTCTGGATTGATCGGTCCTGCACTCAATCACTTCTTGGTTCTACCCCATTTTAATACATTGTGTTTGATCACAATTGGGTGGGCAATTTCTGCAAGACTGAGAATGCCCACAGTACACTTTCTTATTTTTCATTTCTGGGGATGCTATCTTAGATTTTTTCACAATGTGATTTGGTACCAGTCTCGTGCCTTGCCCATGGGACTTGTTTTGGTTCTGTATGTCTTTTCTCAGATGGTCTGTGTTTTACCCAACTTCCACATTTTGGGGGATTTTACTAATGCCATTACTTAGACATTTGGCTTTAGTTAGCTCCTTCCAAAAAGGGGTGGTCATAACATACACTCTGCTTCTCACATAAGCAGCTCAGGTGGTTGGATAAGTTTGCCTAACTAATAATCTCGGCTATTTGGGAGTGTCTTTTTAAACACCCACCTCAGTCAGAACCATCCGTTCTCCTCCTCAACTGCATTCGATGTAGCTTTCTGATATCCACACCATTATGTTCACTATCTTACACCTAATGAGGTTTTAGAGCATTAGGAGATGTGTAGCTTTTATGGTAGCACTTCTTCCTTTTGGTTTGACACATTTGCGATCTTTCAGGAGATGCATCATGACCCATGGTTTCTTGCTAGGGTTCCTTTGGATTTTGATTTTAACTTTTCTCCTTTTCTCTTCTACTATATGCATTGGTGATTGAACATATCCCCCACGTCATCAATTTTATCGATTCCTCCCCCTTATCACGATTTGTTTCTCTTCCCTGATGCTCATTTCCAAAGCTTGGAGGGTGGGGGGCATAGGTTGATTAGCAGGAGGCTTCAGGAAAATGGTCTACAAATGAAAGGTCTTACCATGTTAACACTGTTGCTTCTGGCAGTCCAACATGCTTTAGTTCACTTTCTTCCTCTTGTCTGGATTTAACTAATCATGTTTCATTCCAATTATTCAATGGTAATAGTTTGTATCACTTGCTAATGGGGCACTTGTTGTTCTCTTTGTGGTAAATAGTGGATCTTCCTTCTTGAACACACATACTTGACATACATATCCTGGTGTGTTTGTTCCGGGTGCTTTCGTCCTCATCACTAATTGCCTTTCCAGTCCAGATACACTTTCTCCCAAGGAGTTGTCTCTTGATCCTCCAATTTTCTGTGGTTCTGCCTCCTTTCTCGATTCCAAGTTACCTCTTTTGTTTTTGGTCTCTAGTTCATCATCCACTCACCCTGGATGTCAATATGTTCAGACAGGATTAGTTCCAGTTTATCACTTTAGTTTTTCTCATTCTGTCACTCTTCTTCCCAAGATTATTTTGATCATCCATCTTTCTCCAGGTCAGGTCTTTCTAATTGATCCTTCCTGGCCAGCACAGATCTGATTTTCTTGGCTGTTTTGGCTTGGTATGTTCTTTTTGTTCTGGATCAATTTTACTAACCTATATTTTTGGGGCTCATGTGGATTATTTTTTTCCTCATGTTTGTTTCTTGCCATCTTCCACCTTTATTCTCAGTCCCATATGTGCTCTGGGTTGCTTCATTGCTGTCAAGGCTTCTTTACATTGACTTCATTTCTTGCAGTTTCATTCCCTTGAACCACTCTTCTGTTCGTGATTTTTTTCCCTTCCTACCTTACCCATTGGGTTTGACTTGGGATTTGATTGGTCTTTTAGTCCTTGTGTCCCTCTTCCCATAATCAACTCCTGGTGTCTTTTACCTGCATCTCAACCCCATCATCTGTTAGAGGTACTTCATCTGTCAAATACATCTCATACATTCATCTCCCATTATCCGCTTTGGGTAGCTGTTTCTTCCACCTGTTGCCATTCTTCACTCATCGGTGAGACTGTAATTGCATAAGTTTTCTTTCTTTGGTTATATAATCCTCTTATGATAGGGTTCCCTCATTAGGGAGTCATTAAGACTTTTTTTGAAGGATGCTTCTACTTTCTCCCTTGCACTGGTCCCTCCACCTATTCAGTGTGGGATTCTAGCTATGTATGTGAGAAGAAGTAAGGTACCATGTCAGAAGTTATAATTTTATTATGCTAAAAATGTATTTCTTACAGGTACTTAATTCCACTCACACTTCCCACCTTTCCTCCCTTCTGTCAACTGGTGCTTCTGTTTCTGCCAAAACTCAGTGACAGTTAAGTAGAAGAGCATTGAGGAAGTCATGTGTGTGTTTGGAACTAATATTGGTGAAGGTTTATTGCATGATCGTTTGCATGTGAGAATCAGTTTTACCATGGGATTTGAGGGGTGTGTGGGAGTGAAAGGCTTGTGGCATGTGAAAATTATTTTGCAAATATAGGGCAGCACTGAACGAGAATAGCAATGTATGTAAGCAGAATTAAGTACCTTGTGGAAATATATTTTCAGTGTAGGAAAATTATAACTTTTACTTATTTGTTGGGGCAATTTGCCTTATTGTACATCTTATAATATTTAAAAAGGTGGAGGTTGGGAGTTTTCCAATTGTAGAAATTTAGGGTGGTTTATTTCTACTTTAAGGTTATATTGTATCTAAATATTAAGGGAACTTACCTTCCTACAACTGGCTACTGAAAGGGAGAGGCAGTAGAAATTGAGACATTGTGGGTTCAATCACTCAACTCTGTAACCCTTAACTGATTCTCCATAGTTGCTGACTAGTTTGACATCTGTGTTTGGATCTTGTATGATAGATGGACTATCCCCAATGCATTTGGGAGCTATGGCCACAGATATTTTCTACTAGAAGTTAGTGATGAAGACAAGGACTGATAACGGTAAAAAAAACATTTGGTTTTTTAAGTCTCACTTGAACGTTTTTGATTTGTGTTTCTGTGTGAGCATATATATATTTTAACTTGGGGAGTATGCATTGTACATAATTTTGGTCAAACTTTTCAGCACCCACATGCAAGACTTGAAAGATGTCACTCGTGATGTGCATTATGAGAACTATCGTGCGCAGTACTTAACTAAAATATCCCAACAATCAGCACGAGAAAGAGGGTAGATTTTTTATATCCATTCTATTTTTTTTTATTAAAGTTATTTATTTTTTTACAAAACATCATGTAGCTAGTATCAAGTTTTTCCATTTGTTTTTCTCTTAAGTATGTAGGTAATTATGTTGTACTTAATATGTAGCCAATATTTATGTGGAAACAATGACTTAATTAAGTCTGTAATTCATTATCCAGCTGATATTTAATTACAAAACCAAACTAAAAAAATACAAACTTAACAGATCTTTTTATTTGTAATTTAGATACCTTAGTTCATATGTATTTAACTAATATTTTTGTTATAACTTTGTTTACATAATTGTCAACCCCACTGACATTTTAATGTTTTTTTATATTATTTACCTAAAATTGTCTTTACTTACTCTGTTTATTTATTTAATTAATGATACAGTTAATGTTTTTTTTTATACAACCAGTTACTAATGTTATTTATTAATTTAGACATCACTCAGATTATAATTTGCTGTTATTAAACTTATTTTCCAAAAACATTCCCATTTTCTAGGTGGCACCTGTTTGCAAGATGTGGACTAGGCTAAAACTGTCAAGCTTTTTTTTCTAAAATGACCATAACACTGATAAACATAGGAAAATAGGAAACTTTAGTATTTTACATTATGTGTTATAATTCTAGTTTAATTATCTAGTACTGCTCTACTTACTTTCAACTTGAATAACTATTTACAATGGTTTTTTTTTATAATGTTTAGGAAACTTAGAAGAGATTCTAAACCTTGTGAGGAATCAGCTGTAGAAACAGACTGGTTGTTACAGCAGAAAGAGGAAGAGGCATGATATTTTTTAACTTAGTATTATTTAAGTTATGTCAATACCAGAATACTTTTGCTTGTACTAAACAGTGTAACAGATTTGAACCATTGGCTGCACACATTGAGGAAAGAGATGGTATATGCTTATGTAGTAGGCAACTGACTCTTCCATTAAGTATACGGATAGGTGCTAAAGTACAGGATATTATAGAGTGGGTTAACAGTTTAGCTGTGGTTATCAAGGAACATTCTGTTTTTGTAGTATATTTAGGAGCAAATGATTGTAAGTATAAAGAACTTCTTCAGAAGTTTAGGGATAAAAATAGACGTGGACTTATAAGAGGTGCTCCATCAGGCTAAACGTGGGTATGATTTACTTACAATCCAAGTTTTAAATGAAAGATTATCATGATATGCTTAGATTAACAGGAGGGTTAGATGGATCTGTGGAATGGTTTTCAGGGTAAGGGTGAATTATATGCTAGATATGGGCTTTGTTTAAACAGATTAGGTTGGAGGATGTGTGGAAAAACTGTAAATATCCATTGAAAATAATTTAAATGAAACTTGCACAATAAGGAGGGAGCTTTGGAATAAACAGTTTAATCACTGATGGATCCAGGTAAGAGCACACTCCTCAAACTCCTATGACACCCCATAAATATATATATATATTTATGAGTGCCCCTATAAGAGATAGAAAACAAAGGGCGAGGCAAATAATTATTTCATTTCAAATCATTTAATTATTTTATTTTAATACAGTCAATTATTTATGGTGACACAATAAAATTCTGATCATACAACAAAATGCAATGTATATCAATCAAGAAGAGAGACTTCTGTGTACAGAGCATCTCTGCATCAGAATAGTATGGTGCAGTTTGTGGGTCTTTTAGCATACCTGTCAAAGGCTTCCTTGCAGGATAACAATATAGATAAATGTGTATGGAGCAGCACAAGGTCCTCCATCCATCATCTAGTCATGATGTATATAGCTCACACCCCAAAAATTGGGATAAGATGCTTTCTCAGCCCCCTCCTCCAAATAGCTTTAAAGATAAATCTGTCAGATATATAGGTAAAAAAAAAAAGTAGAATCAAGAATAAACTTAGTTGTTTGGAGCATTAGAAACAAAATTGGTGAGTGCAGGACTTTTCTTAAAATGAAAACTAATATAATGGGATGAATTATGGAAACTTGATTAGATTTGGAGATGTTTGGAAATTTAGAATTATATTGATATTCGATGTTATAAATTATTTAATTGCAATAGAATTTTTAAGAGTAGAGATAAGATGACTTTATATAATGGATTAACTGCAGCCTGTTAGGTTTCAATACATTGAAGTTGATCGTATCAAGAGGATGAATATACATATGAGTTACATTCATAGATTTCAAGGGTGGAAAGTTTTCAACTGGCAGTTGTTATAAGCCACCTGATGAGACAGAAGGGGTAAATAAGAAATTATATAATGAGATCAGGATTAATTATGGGAGATGTTAATTTTAGACACATTGTTTGGGACTGGAATCAAATGACAAGAGAGAAACATTTGATGTTTGTTGAATTTCTTGCAAAGCTACTTCAAGGCTGTCTGCACTAGCCTCTCCTAATTTTGAAGTAAGAGTGTAGAAGAAAGGCAACAGTATGATCATTGCTCTTATAATGCACTCATAGCCCCAAAGAGCAGAGCATGAATTTCTTTTCCTGCAGTAATAGGGCATGAAACATGGATCCACAGTCTGACAAGTTACCCATTGGGCCATGCTTGGTATAGCAAGGGGAAGATATTTTTTTGAAGAGCTTTAGAATGGTTTTATATACCAAATGATCTGTATAGGAAGAGTAGGGATTTAATAAATATAGAAATTATGATACCCAGTGGGATTTATGAGTAACAGCTGGCTTATGATGTCAAAACCAACAGTAAGAATTTTTTATATATATATGTTAAAGGTAAGCAAAACGTAAAATGGGGGTTGGGCCCATAGAGGATGCTGATGGCACAGTTATTGTTAAAGACTATGATATGGCTGAGCTTTTTAAATTTTTTTTTTTCTGTTTTGACCCCAAACATTCTAGAGGACATTAAAAGAAGCTTTACAGAATTGTTTAGTGAAATATATCACAAATGAAAGCCAACATGGACTCATCAAAGGGAAATATTGTCTTAAGTAAGCTGTTATCTGTTTTAAAATTTTACATGTTATACTGACAAAAAAACAGGATATGAACTTGGTTTGCTTAGATTTTCAAAAAGCTTATGATAAGGTGTCACACAAAATTTTAGCTAAGGAATTCACATCTGTAAGAGTTAGGGGAATATTAGTTAATTTGATTTTAGATGATTGGATGGGAGAAAGCCAAAGGTTGTTATTAATAGTGCAGTCAAACTGGACCCTTGTTAACAGTGGAATGCTTCAAGGATTAGTGCATGGGCCTTTGCTCTTTCTTATTTACATTAATGACAATGATATGGGCATTAGTTATTAAATTAGTAAAGTTTGTTGATGACACTATTATTATTATTTATTTATCTTATTATTTTTAGCTTTATTGAGGATGTTGAGGTGTTACAGGATGACTTGGATCAATTGTTAACTTAAACATATATTTAGCAAATGAACTTTTATTAACTCACTCAAGCCATTGAATAATTTCTTTGTTGCTAGTAACAAAACTAATAGAACTTGAGAGTGTATTTTTAGACATATTGCTTACAAGTGAAAAGAGGTAATTATTTACCTATACAATACACTTCACTTGAAATACTGTGTAAATTTTTGCTTGCCTTAATTTTAAGAAAATGTATTAACTTATTGGAAGGGATTCAGAGCTAGAAGGGCTACTAGGATGATTACAGCAATGAAACAGTTATCTTACAGGGATGATGGGTTAAGATAACATAACTAAGAAATGAAGGGTAAGAGGGTACCATATTGAAGTTTAAAAGATTTTCTTGTTGATTGGTGGGTTAGATACCTGTGATTTCTTAGTACTATAATATGAAGATTATAGGGTGAGAGGAAAATTTGAAAAGAGTTGTTCTGTAGGCTCCAGTTAAGAGTTTTATTTTTCTAACAGGATGATTGACTTATGGAATGCGTTGTGGTTGGCAATAGTGGATACCAACATTGTATAGAAGTTTAAAGAGGGGAATCGATGATTTCCTGAAAAGTAAAGGGTGGGTTTAAGTTTTTACTGTTGCCAAGGGTGGGTGTGCAAGCTAGCCTTGAAGGACCAAATTGACCGTTGTTGTCTGTAGGTTGTGTATGAAAAAGTATGAAGACCAGTTCCTTTTTTATAATAAATTGTATAAAGGATAATAGTAATTATGATTTGTGAAAATACAAATTTATATGTAATGCATTGTGTAAAAAATATTTATGCATTTTATTCCAATTTATACAGAGAGTATTTGTTACCTCATAAGTTTTTCTTTAAGAGTAAATTCCTTGTGAACTCAGTGATAAAGCAAGTTAACCCCAACATGGTTTCAACAACTTTTAGATTTTTTTTTATTTATGTTGGGACAAGATAAGTTGTAAATAAGATCTTTCCTTTAGAAATTTAACACAGGCATCTTTTTTGTAAACTAAAGGTTTTCTGCATGCTGTAAAAACTTGAAAAATAAAGTTAATAATGAGAATTGTTAAATATTTTTGAAGTTAGACTTCATGTTTTTCAAATATCACGAATTAATAACCTGTGGTATTTATATTGTCTACCTGACTGAGTGTAATGTTGTTTTTCAGTGCAACTGAACTTAAAAGTATACAGTTTACTTGTAATTTTAGATTCGTCGAATGCAGGACATGTTGAACCAAATGCAACAGAAATTGAAAGCAGCAGGCAGAGATAGCAGTGAAAACGGCACTGATTCTGACAGTAGGAAGGACACTGAAAGTGTGGACATTTAATTTCTCTTATTAGTAGCGCTATAGGCATTTTGCAGTCTTCAGTATAAAGCAAGTGTTGGATTGACAAAAAGTTGACATTTGTATACATTTCATTTTTCTGAAATATCTGGACCTTAATGGAAAGTTCGCGTTTTGATAGACATGATATTATTTTATGTATATTAATAGTGCGTTATTATATTTATAAGAACACAGATCATTTGTTTAGTTATATTTTACTTTTATTTATTATTGCAATGGTAAACATTTCCTATATGGTCAACAGATGGCAGTGTTCATTTCAGATTTTATAATGAAAGTGAAATTTTAGGGTATTAATGTGATCAGTAATGTAATGAAAAGTCAAAACAGCATGAACTTTTCTTTATTTTTAATATTTTATTAGAAACCTATTTTATTCATATGGTTAACCAATGAATTTTATGTTTTAGAGAAGAAAACAGAATGAAAATTCAACCTTACTCAAATATATTCATTAACTTAGTTATTGATGTTAGTGTTTTAAATAACATTTCTTCATGATGCTCTCCTTTCTTGAGTATTGTTACACTGCATAATTAATTATGTCATTCAGCCAAATTACACATAATTAGCTGTACTGTAAATGAAAGTAAATTCAAATTTGTTCAATTTATCAGTAGTGTTAAGTTAATTTGATATAATATTTTATATAATTTATTATTTGAAACGGTTACTTTTTTTTCCTACTTTGGGGTGAAAAAATTACTTAATTAACATATAACGAAAATAATACTACTGGCGTGTAATTAGCGATGACTTATGTTTGCAACTCCTTTGAGGTAATATTAGTAATTTACAATTAGAATCAGAAATCTCTATATTGTAGATCTCAACATTTAATGTTAATAAGTCGTATTTCTACCGTATTAAGTAGAAAAGTGTAAAACAAGTTGGTTTGGAATGAAATTTCCCCAGGAAAAAACAAATTTTATTACTTAAAAAAATCCCAAGATAATTTTATAATAGTTCACAAACAATCGTGAAATTGGCGAAAATTAGTCAAGTCGCACTCAGTATGAAACTTGAACTGCCAGATCAAGCGAAATGTTTTTTTCTAAGATTAGACTCGTTTTTTTTCCCTCGACTTTTTCAATATTTTAAACCCATAGAAATAATAATAACTAGAAAATAATCAATTAGTTTTTCTTATGTACCTGTGACCTTGATTTTTATGCTCATTTGAGTTCTTAAAGACATCGTACAAAAATATTTCTCTTACTCTCTTCCATCAAAACTTAATATATTAGAATAATTTGACATCTACACATGTTAATATTGTATCACTCCATGAATAGATATATAAAACTATACAGATTTTTTCAAACTGTAACAGAAAAATGTATTTATTTTTTGTGTAATACCAGAGCATAATAATATAGAATATTACTAATGCAGTAGTGATTTAAATGATTATTTTTTCCACTTTTTTTTTCTATTTTATTTTATTACAATGTTTCTATATTCTGAATAAAAGTATTCTTTTCAGGGTAATTGAAAATTCAATAGAACAGAACTCGTCTGCATATTGCTTGTAATCGTCTACCATGCTTAGGATTAGAAGTAGTCTCTGAAAGTCAACTTTTTATCATAACTCGGATATTATCTTAAAGCAAGTGTAGGCATTTATATTTGTAAAAACATTATCTAATCCTTTTTGTTTGCACAACTAGACAATTGTGTAATTTCGTGTCATTGATCAGAATTGTTTTCTCAATGTTTTTTCATTAAAGGATTTTATTAATTCAGTTTTTTCCAGTTTTCTTGCATCTTGAAGTTTTGTTTAAGTTGTAAAACCAACATGTTTTATCTATATCTGCAACTCCTGTTTTGTTCAAGTTTGGCTGAGAGTATATTTAAAAATGTCACAACATGATACAGTTAACATTGTTCATATTTATTGGTTAACTAATTAGTTAACCGGCCAAATGGTTAATTTATCCTTTCTCAGTTTATTAAAAGAAAAACAAACTAGCAGATATTCATAATTGTTGAATTTCCAGGAGTAATTATCTCCTTTCATTATTCTTAGAACTTTTTTTTTAACTTTAATGTCTTATCTTTTTCCAGTTCCATTAAGAATAATGATGGATATTTTAAGGCGAAGGTTTAAAAATTATACGTTATTGATTTTTTCAGCAATTGTTTAATTTGTCACAGAAGCTGTATGCTGAGCTAGAATACTAAAGAAAAAGAAACTGTTTGAGCCAGTAACGTTTTTTTGTGCCAAATACATACAAATATTCGAAAGTTTCTTAATCAAGCAAGAAATAAAATAATTATTTTATAATATTGCACCGCTGCTTCGATATTAAGTTGGACTTGTATTACTTTTATAATAATAGGTATAATTTTTTCTTGTGGGGCTATCAAATAATATACTAAGCTTATCACAGAAATACTGTAAATTTTATAGGATTCCATAAAGTTGAATCTTAACATACCAATAACTTATTTTCAATAGGTACTTGTATTTTTTAAAGTGTAACTTTAAGACTACTGTTGCAACGACACGCTTTCCGTAGCGCGAAACGTCATCGGTCAGTGTAAATTAGATTATCTGCTTTTAAGCCTATTTTATTCTAACCCGAATAATCTAGGCGTTATGTTCCGACGTTCTGCATTAAAGAAGCAATCGGAGAGCGGCGGAATATAACGACTAAATTAGTCGGGTAAATTTCTTATTAGTACGATAATTATTATGATGGTAAAAATGTATGAAAATATTCTATGGAGGTTTGGAAATTAACTATATATTTGAACAATCTATAACTACTCTAAATCCACTCAACAGATGATGATAATGACAAAACCTTGTCGAAACGTTGTACATTTGCTGTTATGTTAAACTTGTATTAAAGTTTTTTCATTACCCATTCAAGCCGTCTCCAACCATTATTAGTCTCAAAGTGGATTCCTCGTCATCGAAGATAGTTATATTCTTTCTAGGGATAAGACAATTTAAACACTAAGCTATTCAAAATATTGAAAGATCAGAAATTATACACCTCTTGAAATGACAACTGCTATAAATAAATAAATAATATTCAGTTTTATTCGTTTATTAAAATATAGTAATTCGAAGTTCGGTAAAACACTTAATATCATGTCTTTTTTTTCGTGGCCTTAAAGATACAAAAGTAAAATAGCTGTTATTAATGCTTTAGTTAATAGTTACGATGGAAGGAAGTATTCTTAACATAAAAAATTCCAGCTGCCAAGAATCGTCACTAATTGTAACCATAAAAGACAAGTATAAAATATTTTCACGACCAGACAGACCAATAGTTTGTTGCAGGAAGGTTCTGTTAAGTTAGTTCATCATAGAGTTTGTTAGTTAAATTATATCTGTTTTTCTGAAACTAATTTAATAAAATTCCGTGAAGAGTAGTTATGGTATATATGTAAAAGTGTGTAAGCTAAAAATAATATATTAGCGTGCATTTTTTCATGAACAGGAAGCGAGTTTTTAACTCGCAAATTAGGAGTTAGTAATAATTAAAATATTGTTTGTAGTACTTAAATTGGCCGTACAGTATTTTACTGAAATGTTGAGGTTTCAAGCGTGAGAAGCATCGCAAATGGGATATCGTAGAGCGTATTTCAAGCGCCGGATAACGTCTTTTTGTATAGGGTCAAACCATGAAACTGTTGATTTACATCCTTGTCTTTACATTGTATTTATTTTGTAATTTTGTATCTAAAAAAATAAAAAGTGCTGATTTAGTTATTTGTGTCCCAGTTTTTATATATATATATTATGTACTTTATTTCTAAAAGCACTATATCTCAAACTAATGATCGCTCATTTTGCTTTAGCGTCATATTTTTTAATGATGACTATTGAGAACGGCCCCTAAAAGGCTGGTTTCTTGCTCATTCTTCAACAAGCAAATCTGTATTACACCATAGAAAGTGTTCAGAAATTAATTGGGCAATGTTTTATAATGAAAGACTTGCATCATAGCAAATTTGCAATCACCAGCTACGATATATATATATATATATATAAGGAATTGAATATATTTTCCTCAGAGAAGAGATTAATAAAAATGAAACAATATAAAAATATCACTAAAATATTTGTAAAACATTCTTTATTATTGTTAATTTAAAACGAATATATATAAAACCCACATGCATAAAAGCATAAGTACTGGTCTCGTATCTTCCGCTTTTACAATGTTTAGTAGCTCTTGTTAAAAAGAACCTTATTTCAGAAACCAAAGAATATCCTGTAAGATTAGAAGCCATTAAGTAGTTAAGATGCTCGTATGGAGATGTAAATAAACAAACAAAAATTACCTTGACCCAATTTCGACAAGGTCGTATAAATATACTTAATTTTTTATCTCTTTCATATGGATACGTTATCAACACCAGAGGGCGCGTTGCTAGGTGATATACTATGGTGATGTAATCATCTTATACCACCTAGCAACGTGCACATAGCAATATACCTTGGGACAATTAAACTTGCTATAAAAACCATTGAAAATCTCCTTACATCACAAGATGTGATGCCTAACCATGCACTGCAAAAGGGCATGAATCAATCATATATAATTTAAGAATTTTAAAACGACCACTATTTTATGTAAGTACAGGTTAAACAACAAAACACGCCTTGGACATAGCATTGTCAATTTTCTGTATAAAAGCATGGCACAATAATGAAAGGTAATTATTGGTGTGGTTGTATGAAACAGCGGTATACAATTATAGTGTAAAAAAAAAGAACAGTTGTGTAAGTATGATCTAAAAAATGAAATCCTCATGTGTTTTATAAAGTATATCTTAAGGCAATTAAATATGAATTAAAAACCCTTGAAAACCTACACACGTTCATTCTGTATACTAAAAGAATAAAAACAATGAACAACAGAGTTACCGAGGGATGAAACGTCTGTCCAATGATAGTGAAGCTGGGGTAAGTATATTTCTAATAGTGTTAATAAATAATTATATTAATTTAGCATATTTGAATAGTTAATTATACATTTGTTTTATTTTACTTAACAGACATCTAGCAAATGCCCCGAAGCTGAGATGTTTAATATCTCCATTACTTCATCGAGACATGTAAAAAATATACTGTCATGTCTACAACTTTTAATATAGCTTTTAAAGAAAACTCATTCGGGCAGCCTCACACGAACACTCTAAATTCGTTTAACTATAAGATATACTGGATGAGACCACATATTATTTGAAATCCAAAAATAAGGTAAGAGTCGGTATTTATACTCTTTACACATTAAGATAAACCTGTATAAGAGCATGGCACAGTAATGAATAGAAATTTTAGGTGTGTTTGTATGAAACAACATATCCAATTATAGAGTAAAAAAGAACAGTTGTGTAAGTATGATCTAAAAATGAAAACACCGTGTATTTTATAAAGTATATCTTTATGCAATTAAATATGCATTAAAAACCCTTGAAAATCTACACACTTTCATTCTGTACACATTGTGTCTTCAGATAATATTAGCCCCCAGTGGCACAGCAGTATGTCTTTTGTGAATTCTTATTTTCAGAGGAACATAAAAATTACACAGCCATAGCTCATAACATGAAAAGGATTTGACAGTTTTTTTTTCAAATAATCTTATCCATCAAGGATAAAATCTAATATTATTGTTAATGGCAGAAATATAATGGTCAGGACTATTAACCTCTTAAAATTAGGGTTATTGATAGTTTCAACTTTAACTGCATGACGTCATCATTATTCATTAAAACTTTTTGTTTAACTGAGTTAAATAAAGGATATTTTCCTCATCTGTTTGTCACAAGGTTAAACCAAAAATAACAAGGCTGTATACCCGATATGAGTTTCTATTCACCCGACACCATGGCAGCATCTGTAAGAGAAATATTCCTGAACTGATACCGACAGGACTGGTACTAAAAGAAATGGTACATCTTCCACTTTCAAGATGAGATGTACTGGCAAAATACATCATACTTAACCCTTTCCAGACAGGTCATGGGTGAAAGACCATGTCATCACGTTTGTTGACTTGCATTCAAAATTTTATTGAACTACTATTTTATGAAATTATGTCATTAAATTTGGTATCAAATTGTAGATAATAATACAAATTTTAGTATTCTAAATTATTTAATTTCTTAATTTAAAAGTAAATATTAAAAAACAGTTAAACATCGATTTTTGTGTGTCATGTAGTATGTTGAATGCAGCACTGGTTCAAATTAGATGTTTTTGACGCCAAATTACTAATTCTATATTTTCGTACGAATTAGGAACTCAAATTACCGATATTGAAAAGCTAGAATATAAAATAAGAACATCTTATATTTTCTATTTGCTACGATATCGCTCATGAAATGAATCTAACACAGTGGCACCCCACCTACCTCTTTTCAGTTTTGTAAACGCTCCCTTATATACGCTTACCTGTATATATGATATGAATAACCAATCGAAAGCTCAGAATGTCCCCCTCGTGGCTTTCTTAGCCATTTTAAAGTCTTAGGACGCCATCTCTTTCTTTCGAACCAGGGTTTCAAGGAGGTAGGTTGTGTCTTTAGTCTGCTCGAAATTTCATATTTTTTAGACTGAAATACAGCTTTGTTAAGCTTGATAAATTATAGTGGAACTCTATGGTATTGATATAGTAATTTATGATTTTTTTGGTTATCCAACTGTATATATAAAACATAAAAAAAATATTTCGTATCATATGCTCAAGCAGTAACGAGTACAAAAGTCGTAACTAGAAGGAATAATTGTTTGCTTTACTTCTTTATTTACTGTTCTATGTTTTAAGAAAAATAAGTTTAAGAACTTAATGTATAATAATTGAAAGGTGACTGTATTTTAGAAAATACTATTATACTTAAACACAGCCAAGACAGGTCACTTTGTAAAGACTAAAGGTCAGTTTTATATTATTGGATACGGAAACATGAGTGCACGTGCACTCATCATTGTAACTACTGTATTGTTAATCAGGCATAGCTGAAAGGGCAGTATAATAAAAGTAATAAATATATATAAATGTATAATGTTATGAGATTTAGGCTATTTAATCTAAATAATTATGTTTTTGTGTTATAATTGGTTGTCATTCTAGAATGAAAGATGCATAATTTATATTTATTTCCTAATTTTTTTATGGTGGTTACGAGATCGGTCAAATCCACCGAACCCGTACAGAGATTCGTTACTGAAAATAACAGATAAAATATAAAGTTTGTTCTTAAGAAACATTTGATAAATATCTGGTCATTATAAAGATTTCGCATGTGAAATTTCAAATTTTGCTGATGCATAAAAGTATTTTTAATCTTAAAATGAAAATTACTTTGCATATTGGATAGGCAACATACAAAAAGAAATTAAAGGCACGAGAAAAACATTGCTTTACAAACCTTAAGACTTAATCTTCAAAAAAATTATATTTTGCATATGAAAGCATTGTAATGTTTGGTAATAATCTGCGAAATTTCGTTAACGTAGGCTTACTAATTTAAAAGTTATAGCATGAAAATTATAACAAGCACAATATGGTTACAAGGTTGGTCCTAGGGCCGAGTCCATGCTGAAAGAGTTAATAGTCTTATTGTTGAGTTATTATATGACAATATAAATATTTGCCACACTTTATTGAATAATTTAAGAAAAGTCATTCATTGTTATAGAAAGTAAATATATTTTTATCTCATTAAGTATTGTCGATCTCACATTGACATACTTTGTTGATGCTGTTTACAGTTCAGCGATGAGTTTCTCGCCACCTATGGTATTCACCCTTTCATGTACATGACTATTGCAGAAACAAGTTTATATCATCATGGTCTATAGCTCTTGAACCTAACCGTAGATACAACTAACAACTATATCCAGGTAAGTTTACAATGGTTAGACTCCATGCAACAGTTTGAAGGTGTTAATATCTAGCATGCCCTTAATTGTAGCAAGGTTAAAATACTAAATTATAGTGCTGATGGCTTCTGTAAGAAGTGTAACACTATATATGAATTTTACAGTTGTAATTTATGTTACAATCCTGACACAATAAACATTGTTCTAACTATACCCATGTGGCCTGTTAGAAAACATACATTGGACAGATAACATAAACTAGAAGTTCTGGGGTATAAAGTTGTCTCGATCTGGGAACATGAATTTAATCATATGAAACCCACTGACACAAATTTAATTAGTTTTAGTTAAGGACCACACAGTAGTTCTTCCCCTGGATATATGGGACAGTTTCTTTGGCAGTTTGTTTGCTTGTTTTTGAATTTCGCGCAAAGCTACCCGAGGGCTATCTGCACTAGCCGTCCCTAATTTAGCAGTGTAAGACTAGAGGGAAGGCAGCTAGTCATCACCACCCACCGCCAACTCTTGGGCTAATCTTTTACCAACGAATAGTGGGAATGACCGTCACATTATAACGCCCCCACGGCTGAAAGGGCGAGCATGTTTGGTGGGACGGGGATTCGAACCCGCGACCAGCAGGCTGCGAGTCGAACTCCCTAACCACCTGGCCATGCCGGACCTTTCTTTGACAGTAGAGTCAATGCTACTAGTCTTTTGTACATTTGGAAGAAGGTAAAAAGATCAAGTAAGGTGACCTTACGTCTCTCTATCCATGGTTGAATAAGTACTGTGAGTGTCATGTTGGTCATCTCATAACATATTACAAGTTTATGAAATTTATTGTTTTCCCGAAAGGTCTATCAAACTTTTAAAGA